GAGGTTCGAAGGACTTTTCAACCCAGGCGTTTTATCGAGCATGTAGTGGCGAACGTGATACCCCCAAGGCCCAAAAACATAGATAATAAAATCCCAGCCTCGATTCGTCACTGTATCTTGAAGCATGTGAAGAAGTCGCAGCGGGACAAACAGTTGCACTTCAGTTCATCTGAACTCACTATTATCTATCAAATTTACTTCCGCTTGACAGGCTATGAAGTAAGAAATCTGACGATGCTGGAATTCAAAACTTTTTTATATGCCAATCTGGGTCTAACGCATACAGTGGCGCTAGATGGATTGTGTAGGGCAGCACTATTGAAGCGTAAAGGCAAAGGGAAAAAGATTGACGTGCAACCACACGAGTTTGCTCGTATGTTGTCAGTCCTCCTCAGGGGGAATTTCCTGGAGCGCGCCATGCTTGCCTTTACTATAATGGATATTGACGGAGATGACTACCTCCGGGCCAACGTTGAGTTCGCCGTCCTTCTACAAAACAGCTTCGACTACCGTATTGCAGCCTCCAATTATGACGTGGATCCTAATGAACCCTATCGGGATGCAATTCAATATTTAGTTAAGAAAACCGGGGCGTTGATTGACCAAGCCCTCTCAGTCACTGCCTTCATCGAGGTCTGTTCCAAGGAACCCTGGCTTGTAGAGGCCTTACTGCCCTGGTTGCCTTGCGATCTAGATAACTCCGCATTTCAATGCCTCTTTTCACGAAATGTCCAACTGCCCAGTCTTGAAGTGCCACCTAGATTTTCGAAAATTGATCTGCGCAAAATGGTCTTCCGTTCTAGGCTGCGGAAGTTGACTTCAGGCTACTTTTAGTATTTTCGTCTCGTGGCAAAATGTGACCAAATAGTCACTTGCAGAACATGCAATGATCTGTTGAAAAAGATCTACAGCAAAATATAGAATCTGTTATTAAAATGTCCTGGTCTTTGTTCAGTTTTCTTGTCGTGAAAACTTGAAATAATTGTCCATATGCGCTAATCGTTAACTCTCCTATGCGTGGAACTATACTTTATATCCTTGGTAACAAGGACCAGTTCAAACTACGCAGTAAATTGGGAAAAAGCATATTTCAATTGCGTCCTTAGTCTCTGTATTCACACGTTGATTTCGTAGTTAGTCCTACTTTTTTATAATATTGCTTTTCTATAAAAAGGAAATTGTCGGCCTTCACCGCAGCATAAACTTCAATATTTACGGTATAGTTCCCTTCGTGCCAACATTAAGAAGATGTGATAAGAAAAATGAACTCCTTCTACAGCTGCTGAAACTGGGACCTCCACATTAAGACGTGTATTTTGCAGTTTCGCTTGGCCTCCTCTGTTACCCAGGATAGAAGTTATAGGCATACAGGTAGCTGCAGTCGTGGATCCTAACACAACCCTGACATCTGCCTTACCCTGAATTGTACTTAACCGCATTTTCCATCCTTCCAATGCATATGCTAACCTTCCTCTGGTTAACGTATTCTGTTCAAGACCAAATTTCGGCCCAAACTTGCTTGCACTACAGTAGATGGCCTATCACATTAAATGGAACCCGAAATTCTAACAGATAGTCCCGATTCGAACAAATAACTTAGGTAGGATTGAAATATTGATGATCGTGCAACCTAAAAACAAGATATGTCAATCACGTCAGAATGTTGGCTTTCGAACTAGTTTCTTTTTTATCGTCTGTAAAAATCATTATCTGTAAAAATGGTTACTTGAAGAGTATGTATTTTTCTCACTTATTTTCGATTCCCTTATAAATTGAAATATATTTCATAGAAAACATGCACAAAAATACATTTCCTGCAACTCTTTGGTAGGAAATTAAACCCTCACATGTCATATTCAAAAAGTGAATGTTGATCAGATTGGTCACCTTATGGGCAACACTGATAAATGACCGGATACGGTGTATCGTGAATAAGCATTTCATGATCTTAAAAAATCTCGTAATTAGAAACATTTTTTTAAACCGAAAGATACTTTTCTTCAGGTTTAAAATCTGAAGAAGTCATAATTTTCTACCAGCCGTGTACAATAGAGAATATTTTGTGACTGTTTTCTATAAAAATAATTTAAATTTATAATGGTCTTGAAGTTCAATGAAAAAGACGGCGTATTACTTAAGTAGCCATTATTTACGGATTATGATTTTTAAAAGCACTTAAAGTAAGTTCGTGCAAAAGCTGGCATATTGACGTGAGTGAAATATTTATGTTAAGACTAAATGATTATCAATATTGCAACCCTAATTAAGTAATCTGTTCGATTCCAAAATAAATTTCAGAATTTCGTGTAACATTTCATGAGATAGCCAATCTATTGTAGAGTGATATTTTAATACTAATCCCCTCAAGGAGATGCACTTGTTTCATCGGTATCACACAGTATGCAGTGACCCCGTAGTCTGTCTGGATTACGGAACCTCCTTCGTCGTCTAGCGTTCCCGCGCACTGAATCGCCGGCGTTTGGGTTTATAGTTATACTCCATATATCAAGCGAAGCATGAATCGATTTGCCGCGCCGCCGTCTAGTGCTGCTGATAAAACAATAATCATTGCCTTAGCAGAAACCGCGATGGATTCTTCTGTATGATAAAGTGC